TGTTTTTCGCTTGTTTTGCTTCGTCGGGCTGATCCTGATTTATCAAATTTTGACGATCCAATTGGCTGATTATGACCCGCTTTAAGGGACCCCTCAAAAATGGCAAAAAAAACCGTAAGCCGTGTTTTGGTTTGATGCACCCCATATATCTGATAGTTACATCCTCTGCCATCTATATAACATAACTTTCAAGTACCTATTCTAAAGCGAAACTTTTATTTTACGCACTGTTTTTAACATTTAAGATCAAATAGGTAATACTCAATTACCTAAATTAAATAGATATATATCTAGTAGAAATAAGTACATGAATAAAGTTACATAGATGAGGTTGGCCAGGAGATAATTTTAATGAGAAATTACTAATTAAAGCTCTACAGGGGTAGCTTAAAATTTATCATAATTATAATGGGGAAGCCTGACATTTGCTAAATTTTTGAGAGTAAGGCTCTAAGGCCTTCCATTCCGCTTCTCTTCAATAATTTTTGGTTCCTTTTTTTGATATGCTCTGTAATGCTATAGATCCATTTTCTAAAATTATACTTATTCTAAGATGAAATTAATTGTGAAAATCCATTTTTTAAAATTTTACATATTTTAAGATGAAATTAATTTATCTACAAAAAAAAATACCGATTTTTGAATTGTGAAAAATGTCATATTATAATAAATATGACATACAATTTAAGGATGGATAAACTGAAAATATGTTTGATGATTTCATTAAATAAATACAACCTTGTGAAGTTTATGGAAGTTTACTGTATTTAGTACCGGAACCTTCGGACAACTTTTGCTTATTTGAAATCATTATATAAAAACTTTATATGGAACATCTTACCAATAGTTAAATGAACCATGTGAATGCCGTCTTTGATTGAACAAAATAAATTATGCCATTCTATGTCTACTAATCAAATTACCAATCTGGAAAAAAGACAAAGTTTTAACCTCAATTTGACTTTCATTTAGATTAGGTTGATCACGGAGTATTTGCATACGTGTTCGTGATAAAAATTTGTAAAGTAAGGTTACATGTGTTATATATACAAAAAAATTGCTATAAATAATGCCTCCCTTACGATCAAGAACAATGACAAAAAAAAGTTAAATATAATTAAAGTATGAACTCGAAACACTTTATTATCGTTATTTTACTCATGTTTTGCTTGTATTCTTGCGTATATGCTCAAATAAGGGGCGACGGTAAATGCCAGCACCGTAAGTTAATTATAGGAATCATTAAGTTAACTGAATATCACATTCGTTTGCTAATAATAATATCATTTTGTATTTTCACAGCGGACGATCAATCTCAACCCCAAATTTTAGATGCTCAGTGGTTACAAAACAATCAACTCCAAGTCACTATAGAATCACCAACTCATGATGATTTTTGCTACAATCTTGCACCTAACGCAGTTGGCCATTTCACTTATGATGACCATAATGGTCATTCTTATAGGTTTTCAAAGCATGCAATATTTGTCAATGGTTATGATTATAAGTATTTTCATGACCCGGACTGCACAACCTATACTGGAAGTAACCCATATAATTATATTGTTAGTTATGATCCTAAGAAAAAACCTCCATCAGGTGCAACTGTAGATATTAGACTTTCAATTTATTGGGATTGTGGTGGAGACGGAAGTGTTGAATCTCTTTGGTGCCCCAGTTGTGATGTTAAGTTTAATTCAAAAGTACCATAATAACATTTAACTTTTATTATAATATTTGTTATATTAATATTAAATTTTCAGTTTTTCTCGAGAAATTTTTGTCTGACTAGCAGGTTTTTCTTCTAGATATCATTTTCTCGGTTTTTTTTTAGATTAGTTTTTTATAGTCCTTTTTGCATTGGTTGTTTGTTATCACTTTCTTTTTTGTTTATTTTATATTACCATTTTCTCATTTTTTCCTTTCCTTTTTTTTTTTGTTTTTACCTCTTCCCTACGGGAAGGTGTTATCAGATTGGTAATAGTGCGGTGGGCCTACGAGTACGTCCAGTGCGTTGTACTGGTGCGCCAGGTCAGTATCGTAAAGACAACTGGCGATGTCAGACTTTGCAGTAGGTTTTAGGTAGATTAGTTTACATAGCTTTGCCTAAGTGGATATATATATATATATATATAATTTTTAAAATTCAACATTCTAATATTTAATAGATTTTATTTGATTAATGATTATTTAACTATTTAATGAGTTTAGTATTTTAATCTTTGATAATTTTGTAAAACTATTTAATAAAATAATTTAATATCTAAGATGAACAAATAATTTATTGCAACTTTCTGTAATGATTAAACATTGGAGTAATTGTGTTTATCTTTTTTTCTGCGTCCCGTGAGTCTCTGTGATTTAACTTTACGCTCGCATTAAGACGTCCAGGATTATGCGATGCGAAAGGGTAAATTATGCGATTCGATCGGGTTAATTATGTGGTGGATGCGAAATATTTTTAAAATTATGCGATAAAGAATGCGAATTTAAATAGAAGATGTGATTTTTTATTTTACA